CTCCCGAGCCCTTCGGCTAGTGCCTGAATTCTGACTGTGTTTTGGGGCGCACTCACCGCCTGGTGGGTGCACCGCGTCAATGTGCATCATGGCAGCCACAGTGAGCCCCATCGCCGTCGCACGCGCCGCGGCGCTCGTGCCCAGCACCTACATGGCGGCAACCGCAGAGACCGGGGCATCCAATACCACAGGCAGGTCAGGGCAGACCAGCATTCCAAAGATGGGTGGGAGCTGTATGTTTCGCATGATGGTATATAGCCTGCCTTCAAGAATCTTATTCAAGTCCGAGCAACAACGCCAGGCGCACACCAAGTGCAAGCATTGCACACCCACAAGCACCACAGCTCGAAAGTCACAATCAGAGAGCAGCCAGGCTCAGCCGCCCCGTCGAAGCGTCAGAGCACTGGCGCTCACCTTAAGACATGCCACTGCTATCGCCGCCGCCGCCAGCTGGCCGCCGACCACTGGCCACAGCCGCACGGGCTCCGCATCGGGGCGGGCGAAGAGCAGCACCGCCATCGTCCCAAAGGACCCCAGCAGCAGCGGCAGGCCCTGCTTTCGAAACAGGGTGGGCAGAGCAAGGGGTCTTGTGATGGGCCCTGTTGTGGTGGTCAGAGGTGTGACAGGTGGAGGGTGAGGCGGGTGCGCCTCTGCAGCGTTGCCCTTGCAGAGACAGCAGCTTGCCCTGGAATGAGTCCCAGTGCCCTGCCGGCGAGACGGGTTATCCACAAGGGCCAAAGGCTCGCGGCTGACACGGCTGTGCCCCACCCTGATCAGCCTCCCAGTGCTTGTCCCTATATTCTAACCAGCACCCATCCCACCCTTGCTCACATGAACCCACGCCTGTGCACACGCGGTATCCTCATACGCGACCCACCCGCTGGTGCGCCGGCCCCACAATAGGCAGCGACCCCGCTCGCCCCGCCAGCAACGCAAGTGCTCCAATGAACGCCGCCATGCCCAGCGCGCTCCACGCCAGGTCCGACGCGCGCGGCGGCCGCCGCTGCAGCCCGCCCGACAGCTTGGCCGCCACAAAGCGGCGCAGCGCCCGCCAGGTGCCGCCATTTCCCTTGGAATCGGCGAGCGCTTGGGACAAGTGCTGATCCCAATGCAGCGGCGGCGCGTTTGCGGAGGTTGCTGCCGTAGCAGCCAACGACACGGAGGCTGCGGGTGGGGCCGCGGGTGCTGAGGGGCTGCGAGAGCGCTGCGTGGCCTGTGAGGAGGGGTGCAGAGCGTGGCCCGGGCAATGTGATTTGGACGCGTCACGATTCTTTACTGTGTTTGGGCAGGCGCTCTGTGATGCGGGGCCGCTCATGCTGTGTGCATGTGTGGTATCCCTGCCACAGTCACAACTACAGCAGCTGGCGCGGCTGCTCAGGCGTGTGCGCGCTCACGTTGACGAAGGCCAGCAGGCGCCAGGCCTCTGCCTGGGTCAGCTGCCCATCGCCGTCCTTGTCCAACCTGTGAGTTGCAGTGACAAGGGGCGTGTAAGGGGCTTACTCACATACTGCGCATATGAGTTCAGGGACGGCGCCGCGCAATGCTGGGTTGACCAGTCAACCCTCTGGGGCGCCGGGGCAGGCACACCGAATCGAAGCTGTGCGAAATGCTGTAGGGCTGCTACCATGTTCCATGCCTCTAAGCGCTGGTGCTCACATTTGGAAGGCCATCGCAAAGGACTGCTCCTCCCCAATCGCAGGCTGCTGTTCGCCGCTTGGGTGGTACCGCGTCACAACCAGGGGCACCCTGCGCCCTGCCGAGGCACCGCGCGCTCGTGCAGCTGGGGGTGGGCATAGACGTAAGCCATGCCGGGGGCCGCCCGGGGCAGTCCAGGGGAACTGTATGGTGTGAAAAAGGGGTGTCGCAGCTTAGGGCACGCCATGGATATCATCTGCGTGCAGCAGCGGGCAGCATCGCTGCAGTGGGTGCGTCTGCCATGAAGGCATGTTGCGCGCGAGGCTGGCGGCTGACAAGTCGCTTGCCTCGTCCTGCCGCGGCTTACTCGACTATATGAAGCCATGTTGAGTGCCCCGCTTGTCATTGTGTTGCTCCTTATCACCGCAGACATCCTTCACCGCTGTTTGGGCTGAAAAGTGGTCGAATTTTGATCACTGGGTCATTTATGACAAAATATTACGGCATTATTTGCGCGATTAAGGTACGGTAAGATGGTCTTAGGCCTCTCCTGCTTTACCGGCACTGAATCGCCGGGAGATGCACTGCCGAAACCCACGATGTGATTTTTGATCAGCTGAATGTAGGTTGGCGACAGCCGTGGTCTCTGGAGCCAGGCAAAGGGCGGGCGTCAGCGCAGCTTCTGCAATGGCACTGCCCCAGGCAAGATTGGCACATGCCCCACGCTGGGCCAGCGTGTTCAAGTGCAATCACGAAGGCATATTGCAGGTATTGGGATCTCATATTGATGAAGACAGGCGTTTTTGTAAGTTGCTGGATCTGCACATAAGTCACACACCTGCACGTCACTGGCCGGTGAACCCAATTGTTTAAGAATACTGCCGGTGCACCCTGAGCACTCATAGGTGACAAGCACGACGACATATTTTGGGGGGCCAAGCTGGACCGGCCCAGCTTCTACACAAATTTGATGCCCGGCCAAGCATGCGCTTGTTTCCATCCCTGGCACTACAAGAACGCTGGGATACATGATCAGGCGCTCCACGGAACTGCACGGCACCTGAGCGCAACATCTCCACGCACATACAAAGTAATGAGGGTCGCGATAGTGCGTTCGTGCGCTGCTCACTCTGATGCGACTGTTTGTCATCTGAACAGTTGCGACTCATGCGATTTCACTGAGCCCTTTTGGCCCCCAAGGGCGCATCGCTTTGACACGCGCCCCTGCCGCCGACCTGGACGAATGGGGCCGCCATGAAGCATCTTTATACAGCGCCGCTCACTCAGGTGGACAGGCTGTCCACATCCAGGGTGGACGCTGACCTGAGTTGTGCAACTGCAGCGGCATCGAACATGCCGTTCGTAACACACACGATGGTGTGCTGCGCCCAGCATCGTGCAATTGCGATTGCACCACGCCGTTGGCTGCGAGTGAGGAACGTCGTTGCCGCAGCTGAGGGCGAGGATTCGCCACGAGGTGCAGGAGCAGCTGCCGCGCAACTGATGGGCCCCGACTGATGCCGCCGCCTCAAGCAAAACCAGCGATCGTCGCTGCGCTGCAGTCATCGAATAATATGTCGGTATGCGATGTTGGCACGGGTGCTTCCCGAGGGCAGTGCATGAGTGAACCTCGCTGGTCCGCAGACTCTAGCATTTTTGTTCGCGCTTGCGCAACGATAAAGCAGCAATGGGAGACAAACGAGAGTGTAGGCAGTCGAGTCTTCGCACTACACAAGTCCTGGCTTATACGTGAGCGGCTTGCAAGCGGCGGAACACTGCCAACCGCGCGCGGCCGTGCTCGATGCTGCGGAGCCGCGCATCGCACACGAGCCATACGCCGTGTGACACAACCGCCCGGCAATTTCAGCACCACATCGAAGCCTCAAACCCACTCGCAATACCTGCAGCCTGACTCGTGCTGTGCATCAGCCGCATCAGCATGCGTTTTTACATACGTCGCAACCCCGCCCACGCACCCCTGTCGCCTCCCTTTTGGCAGCTTGACCAACTTTGCACAGGGCACCATGGTCACCCTGCCTTTCACGGTCGGCGTCTTCATGGTGCGCGCCTGGGTGCCCGGCGGCGGCGAGGAGACCGTCGGCCGGATGACGGGGCTGCTGGTGAGACGCCGGCCGCGGCGGCTGCGCTTCAGCGCCTCACGGCGGGGCGGGAATTGATGAGGTGGCCCAATTGTGCAGCAGATGCGCTTGCTGGTTTGGCGCGTGGTTTTCATGACGTATGCGGTGTAGCAAGGCCGGGGTCCCGCCCGTTGGCCGTGACCGATGCGGACCCAAGTCGATTAGCAATCGAGCCCTATCGAGCCCTCTTGTTGCTAATTGTCGCGCGCCACCGCGCAGGCGGCCTCTTTTTCGCTGGCCCAGACCGCGACAGCCTACGGCTGGGGCCTGTGGTCCAGCACCTACGGCCGGAAGGTGGGGGACACACAAACTGGCCTTCAGGCGCGCGTGCGATGGCGGCGCCGGTGGCGGCGGCGTCGGCGGGGGCGCTCTGCTGCAGCTGCCTGCCTGCTGGGGTTGGAGGCAGCCCACGCCCCTTTGACAGCCCCTGCCTCAAATAATGCCTCAATCGCTGCATTGCGGACTCCCTGCCACCAATGCTGTCCTCTTGGCTCAGGCCTTTCAACTTGCCCACACACACACACACACACACATACACAAACCTACGCACACACACACACACCCCTATGCGTCGACAGCCCGTCATGGTCATTGGAAGCGGCGTCACCGCCGTCTGCCTGGTCTGGTTCGGCCTGAGCGGCAGCTACGCGGGCGCCTGCGCGGCGCGCGTCGTGGCGGGCCTGCTCAACGGCATCATATGCGCCTGGAAGTGCATGATCGGCGAGAGCTGCGACGACCTCACCCAGGTGCGCGGCTTTTGGGCCTGGCTGGCCACCCTGGTTGATGCTTCGCAGCGCGTGGGGCAGCCGGCAGCCCCGCGATTGAGTGGGGTCGGGCTCGGCCAGTTCAAGTGAGACGGGGGAGGGGTGTCCAGACCCTATGGACAGGGCCTCACGCGGCTCACAAGCTTGGTTCATTTCTCTCATTCGATGGAGGGGCGTGCACTGGGGGGCCGCACGTCAACCCCCACCAAGGGAGGCGGTGCCAGAGCTTGCCACCCCTGCATTGCCGCCCCCCCCCCCCCCACCAGGGCAAGATCATGGCGCTGATGTCGCTGGGCTGGGGCATCGGCTGCGTCGCGGGCCCCGCGATAGGCGGCCTGCTCTCGCAGCCCTGCGACAGCTGGCCTGGGGCGCCGCTGTGCGGGGAGGCCGGGCTCTTCCGGGCCAGGTGGGGCTCCGCAATTGCACCCTGATACTGGTGCTTGGGTTTTTGATTGCGCACGCATGATGCACGAGCCCTAAGCCCACTCAGTGATCCAAAGGCGGACTCTCGATCTGCTCTCAAAGACAACCTGACACCCCGCCGCGTGTGCGACCCTGGACGCGCCCGGCAGGCCGTACCTGCTCCCGTGCCTGGTGGTGGCGGCCTGCAGCGCCGCCAGCTGCGTTTGGAACGCGCTGCTGCTGGAAGAGACGTTGCCGTCCCTGGTGGCGCGGCGGCGACAGCAGCAGCAGGAGCAGCAGCAGCAGCAGCAGCAGCAGCAGAAGGAGCAGCAACAGGAGCAGAAGGAGCAGCCGCAGGAGAAGCAGCAGGCAGTGTTGGGCTTACTGCAGGCGCAAAGCGTCAGTGCCGGCGACGTGGCGCGGCGGCTAGCTGAATTGTGGCGGGGCCGCAGGTACAGCCGGCTGCGCGCCGACTGCGCATTCGGCGCCGGCGCCGGCAAAAGCGATCGCACGGACACCGTTGCTGGCGGCCAGGGCCTGGGCCGCGTTGACAGCGCAGCTGACTTTTGGCTGCGGCGCGGCGGCTCAGGAAAGAGCACGGGCAGCCTCAAAGGCCAGGGTGTGTATGGGCGCAGCGCGCAGGGCAGCAGCGACAGTGGCAGCAGCAGTGGGACAAAGGTGGCGGCAGTGGGGGCAGCCGCAGAGGTGGAGAAGGGCGGGCGGGCTGGCTCGAGCGCCGGCGCGGCCGGCCTGCAGCTGCCGTGCAGCTGCCCCGCGGGCGGCTCCCTGGAGATGGCAGCCCTGAGGGTCGGCCGCGGCGACAGCGGCGGCGACCGTGGGCCTGATGGCCACGGCGATGTCAGTGCAGCTGCAACTGCGAGTAAGCGGGTGGAGCGTATTGATAGTGGCTGGTTGCTGCAGTCATACCGCCAGCCCTCAGCGCTCGCACCTGTTGGGGGAGGGTCCCAATGCGGCAGCGGTATAGCCAGCAGCAGCGGCGACGGCGGTGGCGGCGACGAGGACGCGGCAGGAGGCGCTCTCGGGGACCAGTCGCCGCGGCAGCGCGCGGCGGGCACTGGCCCCTGTGCCGGCGGGGGCCCACGAGGTGGGGGCGGCAACGGCGACGTGGGCGATGCACAGCCCTCAGAGGCGAGCAGCCCTGACCAATTTGCAGACAAGGAGTCCGGCCGAGACGGCAGCGGCGACGAGCGCAAGAGGCTCCTGCCGGACTCGCCGCGTGCATTGAGCTGCTCGCCGGACGGCTCCTCAGATCGCGACAGCACAGACCGCGGCGCGCCGGACGGTCCCTGGCACCGCGATCGGCAGGTGGTGCTGGCGCTGCTGGGCTATGGGGCGGTGTGCCTGCTCTTCTGCATGCTGGATGAGGTGATGCCAATCTTTGCATCCGCGCCGATCTCTGAAGGTGGGCTGGGGCCCGCCTGGCGGAACATCAGGGATGGCCCCCAGCGGCTCAAGCCGCAGGCGCCGGTCGAGCGCCGTTGTGTTTTGCAGTGTGGTGTGGTGGTGTCTGACAGGGTGGCGTGGGGTGACGCGATGCGGTATGCAGCGATGTGATGTGACATGGCGTGGACTGGTGTGTTGCATTGCGGGCCTTAGGGTGGTCAGGTGGGCACCCTGAAGTGGTGGCCCTCCACCACCACGCCCTGCCACCACCTGCCAATTTGAGCGCATTCCCAGCCTGCCACGCGTCTGCCGCAGGGCACCCTGTCTCTTCGCCAGACGGCAGCCTTCGCGTTGCTACGCATCCTCTTTTGCAGCCCCCCTAGCAGCTGCACCTCCCATCCGCATATGTTCATGTTGCACCCCAACCCGACTTTCAAACACCCCGTCCCCCGGGCAGGCGGCCTGGCCATGGAGGAAGCTGACCTGGCGGTGCCCCTCGCCCTTAACGGCGCCTGCCTCATCCTCTTCTCGCTCCTTGGGTGCGTGAGGGGCTCGCGTGTCTGCGGCGGGCGGCGCTGGCAGCTGGCAGGCGCAATTGCGGATGAACGCCTTGGTAGAGATGATTGAGCCCCACGCAAGGTCAACCTGTTGAGCGACCATGAATTCTGGTGCAGGATCGTACTTGCATTGAAACAATGCCAAGTACGATTAGTCAAATAATTTAGTCAGCGTTTGACGTGCTCCAACGACTGCACGTGCCTGCTGGCTGGTTGCAGGTACCCACCGCTCCAGCGCCGCTTCGGGGCCCTGCCGCTCTCGCGCGCCGGGCTGCTGCTGTCAGCCGCGGTGTGCCTCGCGCTGCCGCTGCCCTCGCTGGCGGCCGCGGCGCGGGGCGCGACCTCGGCGCTGCCGGCCGGTCTGCTGACGGCGGTGCTGGCTGCCAAGGCTGTGGTGCAGGCACGACGCATGCACTTTGCATTTTTTTTCTTTCTTATTGGCTCTGGTCCAGGAGAGAGAGTTTTTTTGGCAGTGCAGGCACTGTACGTGAAAGTGTGCGGGCATGTCGCAACACGGGCGCACATGAGCTTGTGCATATGCATGCATCGCTTACGGCCTGCTGCCGCACAATTCCCCACGATACTTCAAGCCCGGTGGAGGGCTACAATCTCCTTCTATGACCCTGCCGTCACATAGCCAACAAACATCCGCCCACCCAATCCTCAACGCAATCTCGTCCGCAGTGCTGCGCCTTCACGGGGTCCATGATCCTCGTCAACACGCTGCCCCACCCCTCCCAACTCGGCGCGGTCAACGGCGTCGGCCAGACGCTCGCGTCCCTTGTCCGCGGCCTGGGCCCGCTCTGCGGCGGCCTGGCCTGGGGCCTCGCCGCCCACGTGGCGGGGGGCCAGTTCCTCGTGTTCGGGGCGGTCGCGTGCGTGGCGCTCGCGGCCGCGGCCCTGTTCGGGTTCCTGCGGGTGCCCAGCCCGCGGGACGGGGGCCGGCTGCGGGCCGACGACCCCGCGCGGGGCGGCACATCTTGCTGCGAGGCCTGATGGGGAGCCTTACTTTTGCGGCGGGCCACGGGCGTTTCCCGTGGCCGCGCGACGCCCTTTGTACTACCGTGTGTGACTGGTGCTGCAGGAGCATCGTCACCTAGCCCCTCCTCAAAACCCCATTGGTGAGCGCCCCGTTGGATGGCGCTATAACCCAACCTCCGATCTCATCTCTGTCTGTCTCACCACCCTCAGCTGCTGTGGTGTGATCAAGAGCCGCTGGTCTATACAAGACCGTTGGCACTGCTGCACATGTTGTCGGTCATTGTCAACTCTGTACAAGGGTTGGTCACTTTGCAGCCGAGCGATTTTGCTGGCACAAAGGTGCCTCAGATGATAGGACCGAGATTCCCCAGAGGTCTGCACGCGGCCTGCAGCCCTTTGCTGCGGCCGCAGCAATACCGCCCGCGCCACTGACTCACGCACCGTTGACTTTCTGCAACACGAAGGACCTTGGCCACATGCAACTTGCACGGGCGCCCGTGGTGGCTTGTTGCGGCGCTAATTGATTCCGACACTCTTGGTGCACTGTGCGCCTTGAAACGTGCTGTAAGGTCTAGATGTTGTCAGCCTGCGTCACTGCTGACTGATCTTATGTGAGGGGCGCAACTGCGCGCCTGGCTTCTCGACACACTCAGCACCACTTTGACGCGCCATCGCCGAGATCCGTGATGAGTTGCGCCCTGCTATCCTTGGTTGTGAAATTGCGGTATCTGCACATCTCGTGGTCATGCACTCCCTTGTCGGCCGCTGCACCAGTGCCAAGCCGTAATCAGCGGGAGTGCAGCAGCGCTGAGGCAGGACACAGGCGGGCCTGTCGCGGTGCAGTCTGCACACGAAGCGGCACGACCGGTTGTGGTGCTGCCACGAGCTGAACGGCCGGTGATTGGTCACCGTACTGTAACAATTTCAACAGTGTGTGTACATACACCCTCATCACCGGCATTTGCACCAGCGCGCGCTGGGTCACCGCAGGTGTCCACAGTTCCTCCGCACACTGGTGCCTGTATGTACCCGGCGCTGTGTACCTCGTGCAATGTCGAATACGGCTTTGTCACACCGTGATTCACCCATACGACTTGATGAAGCCCCGGTAGTTGGTCAAAAATGAGCAGATCACCCTTGCCCCTATGTCAGAGGGCGGCAAAAGGAGGATATGATTTGGAACTCGACGTCAGCATGGTGCAGCTCCCTCGGGATGTGCTGTTAGCGATCTTCTCTTGCCTTTCCAGCGTGGACGACCTGGGCGCGGCCTGCCTATCGGCCAAGGCGCTGCACACCCACCTCACAAGCGATGAATTCCTGCACGTGTGGTTCCGGCGGCAGCACACGGTCCACTTACCCCACACCCCATGGCAGTATGCGGCGGTCTCATGGCGCCGCCTCGCGCGCCTGGGGCCGCTGCAGCTGGCCCAGTGGCTCGCCGCCCACACAGCCATGCGGGCGCGCGAGCTGCCGCCCGGCACGCCACCGCCCGTGGCCCTCGGCTGCGCAGGCGCCGCGATTTCGAGCGGCGACGCGCCCGCAGCGCTCGCGGCTCTCTGCCCGCACGCGCGACACCTGCTGCTCCCGTACGCAGCGCACGCGGGCCGGACGGACGTCGTCGCGGAGCTGATCGCGCCCTCACCAGACGCCCAGCAGCAGGAGCAGCAGCAGCAGGAGCAGCAGCAAGAAGAGCAGCAAGAGCAGCAGCATCAGCAGGAGCAGCAGCAGCCCTTGTTGGTGCTGCCCTTGGCTGGCGCCGGCGGCCTGATCCCTCACCTCGGAGTCGCCGCGCCCGCGCCCGTCGACTCAAACATCGAGCGCGCACGCCTGGATGCTCTTGACCTGGCGCTACGCGCGGCGCTCCTCGGCCGCCGCCCGGGCGCGCTGCAAGCGCTGCTGGCGCACGCACACGCCGCGAAGGCCGCCGCCGCAGCAGGCTCGGAGCCGCCGCCGGGCGGGCCGGGGCCGGGGCCGGGGCCGCAGCCGCCGGCGGCGGCGGCGGAGGCGGCGGTCGGCCTGCTGCAGCACGCGGCGGCCTGCAGCGACGTGGAGTGCCTGCGGCTGCTGTGCGCGCCGGGCTCGCCTTTCGCCGGAGCTTCCTCGGTGGGTTCGGGTCCTGATTTATGGTTTGCCGCGACCACTCGCTCTGCGCGCTCTGCGGCCGCCGGCGCCGTGCGTCCGGCCCTCCTTTGCAGCGCCCTCATTGAGCGCTCCCGGGCGCGTCGGCGTCGCTGGCTGTCCGCGCAGCATCCCCCGGCACTCAAACCAGCGGCATGCCTGACAACTGGATGCACACACGGAGCCCCCCCAACTCCCACCTCAACAACCTCACCGCCACCCAAACCTGACCCCCTCCGCCCTCACCCCGCCAGGCCGCCGGGTGCCAGCCGCTGCACCTCCTCTCTCGCGCCCTCGGCCGCCCCGGCGGCGAAGCGGCCGCGGGGCCGATGGTGCTGCACCTGCTGGAGCTCTGCCCGGGCAGCCGCCTCGCCCACCTCATACCGCGGCTCATAGAGCGTGCCTGCCGCTGCGGGCCGACGGAGCTGCTGGCGGCGGTGGAGGCAAAGGCGGACGACGCAGAGGCGCGCGCGGCGGCGCCGGCGCAGCGCGCGCTC